GTTTTTGAGAAAGGATAAAAGTGGCCACCAAACAGATCTGGCGTATTCAGGAAAGAATGATTCTGATGTCGTTACCCGATGATTCTGATGTCGTTACCCGTTTGCTCACCCCAAATACTCTACTCCACCCTGCTTTTTCACATTCAATCTTCGTTTCCAAATCACTCCCAAACTGCAGCTAAATATAGTACTTTTTAGATTTGCCAAGTAGTTGACTTGGAAATACCTAAGCATCGCAGCTATCGGCAGAATGACCTGAGCAGACCTGTGACTATTTCAGGGAGAAGCGCCCGGTGGGAAAACCAAGTGATCGTTTACTTCAAAGCACTGAGTCAGGGCAGTGGAGAAGCGATGTCCGAAAATATGACACTTGCACTTCCGAGAGTTTCAGATGCTCCCATTTTGGCAAGAACAAACAAACCAATGAAAGAACAATAAATTCAACTGTGCAATCATAGACAGATTCCAAACAAGGAAATGCGTGCGTGTATGCTAGACGCTGAAAGCTACAGGGTTGATTGCTAATAAAATGTCTGTGGAATCAAAATAACGTCAGAAAGTTCTTTTAGAATATTAATAAACCGTCAAAAGTATATCTCCTGCCTCAAGATGCGGCTTGTTGCCTGCAAAGAGTTTCCCACATATTCTGGAACAAGAGGGAAGTTCGCCTTTGCAGCAGGACAGCTAAGGGAGTGGCTGGGAGGAAGGGAGAAAGCTGTCTTTCCCTCTCTCTTCGTTGTGGCGGGGATAAAAGAAACGCTCCAGGGCCTCGTCCGTGACTTTCGTCCTTCGAGAGGGCCAGGGGCGCAGGCCGGCTCCAGCCTGCCTTTAGTCAGGCTCTGTGAATAGCTCTCCGTCCCTGAATGACGTGAGCGCAGGCTCCAGGGGGAGCGGGTGACTCAGAGCGCAGGAGGCGCGGAGAGTGCGGAGCAGCCATTAGCACGTCATTGGTAATCCCAGCGACACCTTTCACATCCGCGGTATTTGTCTCCGTGCTCTCCGCGGAAGGCTGGAGAATGTTTTATTTAAGGGCTCTGGACTGCCTTCGCCTGACGGATTGCTTGTCTGCCGGGCTTACTAACACTTGCAGATCTTCCAAGAAGAGAGGGGTGGGGACGTGGAATTCCTAGGACAGTTAACAGGCCATTTCTGTGAACGCAGACATGATGCTTCTGCGTTTGGGAATTTGCATGGCGCGTTAAAACTGCAGCCCAGGTTCTTTCACTTCTTGACAGCAAGAAGCAAGGACTCAGCTGTTACTGTGCAAAGCAAATTCTATCTCATTCCGTGAATATCTGTTAAACATCTAGGGAAGCAGTTTGAAATAGTGGTTACGACCAGTCTGGTGTCGTCTGGTAGGACTCCATGTGGGTTCCAGCTCTGTTGCTATCTGTGTTTGTGACTTTAGGTGAGTTACTTATGGTCTCTGAGCCCCGATGATTTCTTTATCTGAAAAATGGAAATAATGGTGACCTTCTCATAGGATTGTTGTAAAGATTAAGTGGTTGCCAAGTATATATATATCAGTACCTAGGAAATAATAAGCACAGAATATGTGGGAGCTGTTTTATTTCCACTCACTGGGCACTGGGCTGGTGCTGGGCTACAGGAGTCCACAAGACACAGCTCCTCCTCGGAGGAAAGCGCAGCGTGGAGAGGGACAGGCCAGAGACAAACAGCTGGAATGCGGTGGCATGTCTACACCAGCTCAGTGGTTCTACTAGCCCGGTGGTTTAATGTGCTAAGGATTACCTGGGGCATCTTGTCGGGGCCTAAGAGTCTGCGTTTCTTATAAGCACCCAGGTGTTCATGAGGATTCTGGTCCAAGGACCCTACTTTGAGGAGCAAGAACCTAAAGCAATGTATAAGGTGCAACGGGAGCAAATAAAGGGGCAGCAGACTCTGCTCATTCGCCTCTGAGTTTCTGCCTGTGGATGCTGGACACTCTGCACCATTTCCTCCAAGTCACCCATCTCCCACTTGCCCCCCTGGACCTCGCTCACATCCAACACCAAAATGCTGAACAAAGGGAGGAAGAGGTCAAGGGGAGACATGTATAGCCAGGGACAACTTTTGGAAAAGATAAATCTTGAGCCTGACCTTAAAGACAGCAGTGGACATGGGTGGTCACTAGAAAGGTGAAAGAAAAGGAGCAGGAAAGTGTGCCTTTCCTGTCAAGTGCATGAAATTGTTGGTTTCATATATTTCAAGAGCCAAGGAGTATGCAGCGGGAGTTAAATATAGTTATTGAACATTTGCCACATTTGTGAACTTCAAAAACGTCGAGAGAACATTTTTATTTTTTCCTTCTCACACGAGAGGCTATGGAAATGTGTACAATTAGCTGGGATTATCAACCCCAGTGGGTGGGGAGTTCCATGTGCACCTCCCACGATTTCTTACGAGTGTGACTCCTGCAAGCAGCACCAAGCAAACACAGCTCTGGCTGCTTTCCTTTTGACAACTAAAATTTTATTCCAAAGCAAACCTAGAGGCAAGGCTTGGGCTCAATCGTACAGCTTTTGAGTAGTCATGTTGGCACCCAACGGGTCTGCAAATCCGTGTCTGGGCATCTGACACTTTCTAGCATGGCCTCTCTGTGTCACCTGTACGTCTTCTCTTCAGTGGCATCTTTACGACTCTGCTTAACCTGATTCTCCTGCCTGGGCCACTCTCCCAACTCTGCTCACCCAACTGAATTTTCAAACCTAGTTTATGACTCATTGTTCTCGTCAAGGCAATCTTCATTCCACGTGGAGTACTTCTTTGCTTTTCAACCAGATTGTCCAGCTACAGCTGTAAGACTTTAAGGTCTCTGTATGGTTCCGTCTGTGTGTATCCTTCGTACTTCTCAGCTCCAACCCGTCTACATTGTGGGGGCCACAGACCTACACATTAACAGTGCTTACGAACCTTGGCTTTGCAGGGGGACAGACCTGGATTTGAATCCCAGCCTTGCTACTCAATAGCTGTCTAACCTTAGGCAAAGCACTTTGCAACAACACAACCACACTAACAGTGTTAATAATGAACATTTCCTGAGTTGTTACTGTGTGCCAGGCCATTGTGCAAATATTTTATATATACTCTCTTATTCGATCCTTGTAATGACCTTATGAAGTTGATACTGTATTCCTCGACCAAAGCCTTAACTTCATCTGTAAAATGTATTATTTACAGCAATTGCTATTTCAGTAATAGCTACCTCTTCTGCAAATAAGTTAATATATGCAAAAGATTTGTCACAGTGTGTGACATTAGTGAGCATGCATGTGTGAGCCTGCACCCTCACAGACACACACATGTATATACTGAGCCTGTTTACTTGGATCGCCCAGGCACCTCAAACTCATCATCTTGAAACACTCGCTCCTGTTCTTTCATTCCCTATCTCACTTATACACGTTACCATCTGCCCACTCACCCAAGCCAGTAACCTAAGATGCATCCTAGGTTCATCTCGTCCCTGTAGCACCTACTATGTGACACATGCTGTTCTAAGCATTTTATCATACCAACCAGATGAGGTTTATATGATTATAATCCACATTTAACATTTAGTGAAACCTTAATACTCATACTCACGTGAGGTAAGTACTGTTAATGTCCTTATTTTACAGAGTAAATGAGGCACAGAGTGAATAAGTCACTGGTATGTGGCCCATGTGGAGGAGCTTGTATTTTAACCCAGCGTGGCCACAGTGCTGTCTTCAACCCCACATCTCATTGATCACCATGTCCTGTTGCTCTTTCTAAATGGCTTTGGAATCCATACCTTTCTTTCCATCCCCAGAGCCATCTCCTGTGACCATGGCCACAATCACCTAATTACCTTCCTGCCTCCAGTTTTTCACCCCTTGTAAACCACCCTCTCATTGCTACAACAGTGAGCTTCCTACTGTGCGCATTTAATCATCAATCCTTAGTTTATAATCTTTCAATGGTCTTAATCACCTTTAGAATAAAGTCTGAGCTCCAGGGCCCTCCATATGTGGCCTCTCACCCTTTGTCTTCTATTTTCCCCATTTGTATTATATAAGTGAATTGAACTACTTGCAGTTACTGGAATTTTCAGTGTAGAAAATTTGGACAGAAACGTAATAATATGGAGCCAGGAAGTATATAAAGTCATTATGTATACTATCAACTCATTCAGTCCTCATAACAACCCTATGAAGCCTGTACTTCTATAATCACCATTTTACACACGAGGCACAGAGTGGGTAAGTAACTTGCCCAATTTCACACAGCTTGGTTTTAAATCCAAGTAGTGTTGTTTCTAGAGTGCTTGCTGTTCGTCACCACACTTGAAAAGCAGGTAGGATCTGCTAATGCAGTGAGAGTACATTTAAAGGAAGAGAAGCTCACCACCCAGTCAGTTGGCTAAGGGGGCCACAGTCTGGATCATGTCCTTGTAGGTCCAGAAATCTGTTCTGTACTATTCCTACCCACAGTCACAATGACCTGATGCGTGAAGCCAGGATGCCAGTTTACTGAGTTACCGTGAGGTCTACAACTCTTCCTTGGGTTAGACAGACTATGCGAACACATCGCCCTTTCAGCAACGCAGTACCAGAGCAAGAGGAGTAAGTTATACACTTCTCACTTCTCATGAGCTTTGTAGCTTCCAGCTATCCATCTCCACTGTTGGGAGATGCCTTTGAGGTGGGCCGGGTATTTGTGTGAGCCCGACAGCATCCTCCCCTCCCCGACCTTGTGATAGGACCTGGATAGGCGCTAACCTACTACTGCCCTGCTCATCCTATGGGAACGTCCTATGATTATCTCTTGACATGTGTTCATATTCTTAATCTGGTTGTAGTTATGAGAGCCTTTATTTCTCTAAAAGTTCCTTTTGAATATCTGAACTCCAATTCATCTTGCATGGATTTCATTGTTGGATGCCTGGAGAACAATCTTATTTCCTTTCAAAAATGGTGGTCACTCTTATAAACTGCATTCTGCCTGGTTTGTTCATGATTATATACCTTTACCTATGCTAGTCCCACTACTTGACTAACACTAAGTCAGTTATTAAGACCTAACTCTCACCTCCTTCTCAAATGAAATCTTTGATTTTGCTAAGCTGGGTTGGGTAACCCACTTCTGTGTGTGCACTCTGTTCCTATTTCTATAATAACATATCTCATAATGTGACTACTTACTCATACTTGTAATTGTATATTTAATGTCTGTATTTTCTCTGCATTTCTGGCTCGCAGTCTTTCACGAGGCTGCAGTCAAGATGTCAGCTGGGGCTGTAGTCATCTGGAGATTTCTCTGGGTCTGAAATATCTGCTTCCAAGCCAGCTCACTCACATACCTAGCCAGTTGCTGCTGGTTGTTGGCAAGAGGCCTCAGTTTCTTGCTGTGTGGCCCTATCCATAGGGCTGCTTGAGTCTCCTTACGAAATAGCATCGGGCTTCCCCCAGAACAGGTGATCCTACAGAGCAAAATAGAAGTGACAATGTCTTTTAAGACCCATCCACAGTGGTCACAAACCATCATTTCCACAACATCCTATTAGTTGCATAGATGGATCTGGAAGAGAATTATACAGGGGTGTGAGTCCCAGGAGGCAGGGATCTTCGGGGCCATCTTGGAGGCTGACCCCACAGTCTGTTTTTGCCTTTGTCTGTCTTGTTCATCACAAGCACAGAGCCCTGTACTTGTTGTATAGTAGAGGCACTGCAAATAGTGGTTGGATTGAAAAAAGAAAGGAAGAAAGAAGGAAGGAAAAAATAGAAGGAAGAGGGAAGGAAGGAGAGAGAACGGAAGGAACAGTGAAGAAAAGAAGGAATTATAATTATTTGTTTACCTCTGTCCCTGACCAGATTATTAGCTGCTTGAGAACAGGAACTGGGATGTTTTTAAAAGTCTCTTTAGCTGAAGCAGTTTACTCTTAGCTTAACACAGAGTAGACTCTTAATGAATGTTACTTGAGTGAATATATGAGTGATGAATGCATGAATGAAAGCTGAATTAAAGTGAATTTGGCCTGTCTCCTGACTGAGAAAAGCTCTCTAAGGACAAGAACTGGATCATTTCCTCCTTTACCCTTAGTATACCTGTTAGGGTAGGGAGTCCACTTTAAGCCCTTAAAAAGTCCTCTTGAAATTGACGCATGGATAACTGAGCAGGTGATAGAGATCACCACCTAATGAAGCTTTGTAAGTGTTTTGATGTAGTTAGTTTGGTTCAGGAATATTGTATATCAGGACAGAAGCACGGTTTCTCTCCCTCCTCGTCATCTTAGTTTAAACAGAAAAATAGAGGCAGCTGGTATAGCAATGGAAGGTGTCGTTTTCTGAGGGTACAGAGAGAGGGCCTCTCTCTCTGCTGTTTCCAAAATAAATGTGGTGCCCTTAAGGAGTCTATGGTTGGTTCTCAAATATATACAATGGAATGTTATTCAGCCATGAGACAGAAGGAAATTCTGCCATTTGCAACAACGTGAATGGACCTTGAGGGCATTATGCTAAGTGAGATAAGTCAGACAGAGAAAGACAAATACAGTGTGGTATCACTTACATGTGGAATTTTACAAAGCTGAGTTTGTAGAAACAGAGGCTAGAATGGTGGTTACCAAGGGCTGGGTGGTGGGAGAACCGGGGAGAATTTGTAACCAGTAGATCGATGCGTTCTGGAGATCTGATGTGCTGCGTAGTGAGTATAGTCAACAACACTGTATTCTAAACTTCAAAGTTGCTAGGAGACTAGATCTTAACTGTTGCCACCACAAAAAAGGAATGATAATTACGTGACATGAAGAGACATTAGCTAATACAATGATGGTAATCATATTTGGTATATGAATGTATCAAATCAACATGTTGTACACCTTAAACTTGCATAATGTTATATGTCAATTATATCTCAATAAAAAAAGTAGGCTTCCGAGTTTACTGGTATTACTGTTTGAGATGCTTTTCTTAGCCCTGGTCTTTATATTTCTTGTAAAGGAAATGATTCCTCATTTTTGTGTAGCATTAGATGGTTCACAGAGTACATTCATATTCCTTCTCTCATTTAATCCTTACAGTAACATCATGGGATGGGTAATATCCCTGTTTTTAAGATAAAGAGGCTGACTTTTTCTTGGCTGTGATTGCCCATGGTCACATTATTTTGGATGTGGCAGAGCTAGGTTTAGAACTGAAGCCACTCTCCTGGAATTCTCTACATTTCCCTCCTGAAGGGGAAAATCACAGTGCATGTAGATGTATGTGTTTATATGTCCTTTCTTTCCATACCCTGAAAACTCTTAAAAGTTTCCATTTTATTCTGAAAACGTTGTCCTACCCCCTCTCATCCATAGCCTCGTTAAGAGAATGACTGATACAGGGGACAAGAGTGGTAAATCTAGGAGGTGGGCAGTTTCTGTCAAAAAAGGTCTGGGACGGGATGCGAACATCCCAGCCCAAGAGCAGCGGCAGCCTTTGGAAGGAAACTGTCGCAGGCAGGTGGGAGGCGGAGTGAAGACAGTCTGGCAAGAGATTCCATCCCAAGACTTCGATTCAGAGATAGGACTCTTGGCCTGCCTGGTGTCTTGAGCATGTTTGGTTGAAGAATAAAACAAAAAAAGAGATACACTCACATAACTTAAGAACAAGGGAGCACATTGTGCAATCCTAGGAAAATTGCCCATAAATAAAATGCTGTAATTACAGCCAAGCCTCAAGGGATCTGGAAAATCATTAGCCATCCACCCTCTCTGTCCTTGCTCTGTTCTGGAGGCACATGGGCTCTCATTTCTCCTCCTCTAGGCAGATTTTTCATCCCTCTCTCTCAGCTGATTGATCTTTTCTACTCACTTAATTATCGCAATTGGTTTATATCACTCCTAGTTGGCAGTCTTTGCTCTGCATGACCTCTCCTTGGTTTGCTGCCAAGTGTAGTAACATTTTAGTGTTCAGATTCCAGAGGCATGGAAGAGGAAATATGATTGGCCAGTCTTGAGCAGGTGTCGGTCACTGGTCCAGTAGCCATGATCAAGAAGTGGGATAACATGTTATGAAGATCAGTCATTCAAGGCTGTAGGCCAGGTGGTACTCTAAGAAGGAAGCACAGGTATGGAGAAGATTAAATCAACTTCTGGTTCATCTAAGACCCTACAAAAACCAGGCTAAGAGGAGTAAAACAGGGACACATTTGAAGGGCACTGGATGTAAGATTAAAGCATGGTTATTAGCAGGATGACTTACAGTTGAATTCTGTGCTATGCATCCAGAGACCCTTAAGATGGCTCTAAGTTAGATTAGAATTGCCCCACAGCCTGTGGTGCAATGGAGTGACAGGGGAGGAGTAGATGGTTTTAGCTGAGAAGAGCGGAGTGCCACAGGGGCAGAAAGTCAAGCAGATCATGAAATACTTTGAAGCTGGTAGAGCCAATTCCTTGTCTGGCTTAAGCTTCTCTAAAATTAAAATTTTGACTTTCTGGGTAGGCCCAAGAGGTAGGCCTAGCTGCTTCACTAAAAATAGCAACAGAAAATCCCCAGGCAGCTGTTGGAGCAATGCTTGTCATTGAGGAAGGCAGAAAACCAACGTCTGATGAGGAGCTCCTGTGTGCCAGGTACTGTCCCTATGTTATTTAATTCTCCCACAGCAATCCTCTGAAGCAGTCATCAACATGATTCCCATTTTATAAAGGATGAAACAGGTTAAGTAATAAACAAGCAGTTCTCTGCTGTTCAAGCTACTGCCAAAGTCCTTTCTAGTTTCAACTCCTATTCTCCTCTCCTCTCCACCCACTTCCCTTCCCACCCCTCTCTCTCCTTCCTCTCTTGCTTTTCCTCTTCTTTTCTTTTCTCTTCCCTCCCCTTCTTTTTCCTTTCCAGTCTATTTCATTTTTCCTTTGAAGGTTTTGAATCAGGCTTTGTGCTTCAGGGCTTTTGGGGACTCCATATTTGTGATGGACATGGTTAGCTTGATCTGTGAGGGTTTGATTCCCTTCCTTGAGCTGACCCATTGATGTTGATGGTGCTGGATTCTCAGGTCCTATCCAGAGACCCAGGGTTGTTTGTTTCTTGTCCTTGCCTATCCCCACATGGCTGCCCATCCCAGAGTACTTGAGAGCCCTTGTTGGTCAGCCCCATTGTTCTGGTGCTGTCCATTGCTATCACCATCACAGCCACCATTTACCACTCTCATATTATGGAACCCCTTTTATTTCTTGGCAGTCAACAGTTAGCTTTTTTTTCCTCAAACTAGAAATGCCCAGAGCATTCCTCATTATTAGCAAAAGGGTCTCAATACTCACACTTTCCCTCTGGTCAGATTTGGGTCCAAATGTGATTACAGTGAGAGCAATTGTGGTGATAAATCGGGCCAGCTCCTCTGAAACTCAATCACATGGACACTAACACAGAGAATTGTAGGGGCTTCAGGGAAGAGCCAGGACAGCAATGAAAGGGCTGGCCTTTCAGGAGATATTGGAAATATTTAAGCCTTTACATTTAGGCTTGGTGGCAGAGAAAAAAAGGTTATGATCACAGTCACCATCCTGAGGAGTAATTTCTTATGTGCTGTTGTAGCCTGTGAGACGTTTACAGTTGCAGGCCATACTGACGCTTTGCGTAAGGTGCTATCTGTGAGTTTTTTTCTTTTCAAACACTTTATTGAAGTATCATTGAAATGCAAAAAGCTGTGTATATTTCATGTATACAACTCAATGAGGTTGGAAATAAATGAAACCATCACCACCGTCAAGGCTATAAACATATCCATCACCTCCCAAAGTTTCCTCCTGCCTCTTTATTATTGACATTTTTTTAATGGTAAGAATGCTTAATATAAGATCTACTCTCAGCAAATTTTAAGTATACAATACAGTATTGTCAGCAATAGGCACTTTGCTGTATAGTAGATCTGCAGAACTTATTTACCCTACATAATTGAAACTTTTTCCGAGAAGAGCAGAGACAGAAAACTTATTTAAATAAATGACAGAAAATTTCCTAAATCTGGGGAGGGAAATGAACATCCAGATCTGTGATTCTCAAACAACCCTGCATAGACTGCACACAAAGAGGTCTTCACCAAGACAAATTATAATCAAATTGTCAAAAGTCAAAGACAAAGAGAGGATTTTGAAAACATCAAGAGAAAAGTAACTAGTTACAAACAAAGGAATACCCATAAGACTGTAAGTGGATTTCTCAGCAGAAACCTTGCAGGCCAGGAGAGAAGGGGATGATATATTCAAAGGGCTGAAAGAAAAAAAACCTGCCAACCAAGAATGCTATACTTGGCAAAGCTGTCCTTCAGAAATGAAGAAGAGATAAAGACTCTCCCAGACAAACAAAAGCTGAGGGAGTTTATCATTACTAGACCTGCCTTAAAAGAAATGCTACAAGGAATTCTTAAAGCTGAAATGCAAGGACCTAATTAGTAACATGAAAACATGTGAAAGTATAAAACTCATTGTGAAAGTATGCATGTAGTCAGATTCACACTGCTCTAATACTGCAATGATGGTGTGTAAGTGACTTTTAACTCCGTGAGTTTTTCTTTGCTTTCTCCCTTTATCTCCTTTAAAAAAAATTGTAATGATATTATTACTATTGTTGTTAAGAAAAAGAGACAACACATCAGAATTCCCTCCTTATCCCAGACAGTCTTGCTCCCATACCCACTACTTCATCAACATCTCTGTAACATAAATGAAATGTCAGTGTTCTAGTCCTCATTGTATATGAAATTTCAGTAACATTTGACACTCTGATCCGTTACCTTTTTGTCTTACTCTCCTGATTTTTTTCCTCCTACTCTTTGACTATTCTTTTTTAGGATCCTTTGGGAGATTCTCATTTTATATCTGAACTTGACATAGCCAAGGCCAACACTTATGTAGCTTTAATATGTACCAGGTACTCTTCTAAGCACTGTAATGTATATTATCTCAGTAAATCCTTAAAACACCCGATGAAAAGTTATCCTTACTTGACAGATAAGAAAATCAAGACACAGAAGTTAAGGTACTGTCAGAGCCGGGGATTTAACCCTAAGAAATATAACTCTAGAATCCCTGTTCTTGACAACTACTCCAGACTGCTTCTGTTTATTGGAATTGCTCAGGATCTTATTCCTAAGCTTTCTTAGCTTCTTATTCCATGCTCCCTCTCTGCGCAGCCATAGCAGCTGCTGCTGTGGCTTAAATTACCGTCAAAAGGCTAATAACCCCCCAAATTATATTGATAGTTCTGACCTCCAAACACTTATAATCAACTGTTTACTAGACATTTCCACTGAATATCCAAAGGAGACTTAAAATGAAACATGTACATATTCTTAGGCTTCTTCGACATGTCCTTCATAACATTTGTCACAGTTGCAGTTAAATAATTAACTTTGAAATTGTTCGCTCCATCCGTCTTCTCTGTTAGAGAGAAACTTGCTGAGGGCAGGAAACCCAGCTGTATTGCTCATCATGAAGGCCACAGCTTTCAGCACAATGCCTGGCACACTATAGTTGCTCAAAGCTAGTTTTTGAATGAGTGAATAACTGAATGAATAGTAGAGGAGTTTTTAAAAAGAAAAAAAAGTCATTTTAAGTCCTATTACACTTTCCGTTTTAATGTGAAACACTCTGTCAATCACTTACATTCATTTCAAATAAACTGTATTCACAGTGAGTTAAAGACTTAGTATGCTGTTCTTTTCACCTCACATGAAATATATTTTGTCATGTTCATATTTCATGTATTAAATAACAATTCCCTATTGTTGCACAGAGATTCCCTTTCAGCACTCAGTTATTATAGGCATATTTGTAATAAACACTTTTATGCATGTAGCTGTATTATTCTTGTGAAATGTTTTCTTAAAATAAATCCTTAGTAGTATTCCAATTTTAAATGGCATGAACACTGTATGGTTCCTGACATATGTTATAAAATTACTGTAAAAGATTGCTGCATTAGAAGCCATAGATAAGGGTTCCATCAGCACTGGAAGTAACCTCTCAGGTTCCGCCTGCAGACTTCGGGGAACTGCAGAAGTACAGATGGAATATTTTTCATGAACAAAAGAATCTTGCTCCTGGTAGCTAATCCTGGTCTAATCGTATTGTCTTTCTATCCATCTCTTAAAAATATGTTTTTTTATTGTGATAAAATACATGTAACACACAATTTACCATTTTAACAATTTTAAAGCATACAGTCAGTGTCAACAAGTAATTCACAACGTTGTACAAGCAACATCACTCTTTATTTCCAGAACTTTTTCATCATCCCCAACAGAAATCCCATACCTGTTAAACAGTCATTCCTCATTCCTCCTTCCCCCGAGGCCTTGGCAATCATAAATCTGCTTTATATCTCTATGGATTTGCCTATTCTGGATATTTCATATAAATGGAATCAGGTGTTCAAACAAAAACTAGTACTTGAATATTCATAGCAACTCTATTCACAATAGCCAAAAGGTGGAAACAATCCAAATAAATGTCCATCAACAGACAAATGGATAAAAAAAAGTGATACATCTATACAACAGAATATTATTCAGCCGTAAAAAGAAACGGAGCGCTGAGACATGCTACAGTGTGAAGGAACCTTGAAATCATCGCGGTAAGAGAAAGAAGTCAGCTGTCCATCCCTCTTTATTCTTCACTAAGTCGTTAAACAGTGTACATCAATACAAACAGCTTAGGAAAATGAAGTAAATTTGAAAGAAGCAAAAGATGCAGCAAAAGGTCAGCCAAAAACACTCGTTTGCTGGGACTGACTTTATGCTAATTGAATTGAATAAGCGTTTGTTGAGAATCAACCGGGAGTCAGGTGCAGCTTTACGTGCTAAGGCTACAGAGTGAGTCAAAAACAACTCCTGAGTTAGAGCAGGTCGTGCCCGAGTAGAGACATAACCATGTAAATAAATCATTAATATGGTGTATTATGCAGAAGTATGTATTCTGTGCTGTGAGAGCCCAGGTGAGGGAAAAGCTAGTTCTATCTGGAAGGGTCAAGGAAAGATACAGAAAGGAAGTATATCATTTTTGGTTGTTCCTGAGCTGTGAGTAGAGATCGTCAGGAAAGGAAGTGAGGTACAAGT